ACAGATTGGTCTACTGGCGACCAGACAGTCTATCGGCAGTCGACCGGTCTACAGGAAGCCGGCCAGTCGTGGATACTAGACACATCCTTCACACTTACTCGGATAAAACTTATGAACGGTTTAGTTACACTTCTGACACTCCGTTTCATGTATATGTAAAAGGTCGACAAAAAGAAGAAGTGCAGGAAACATCAAAATTGATCATATAAAAGGCAAAACACTTCACACAAATCAGAGCAATAGAAAATTTAATTGATATATGTATTAAAAGGAGGAAGATCAATAAGATAGAACTAGTGGCTGTCCGATCTAGCGGTCTACCGGCGACCGGCCGGTCTAAAGTGCACACTAGTGCCGGACCAGACCGGGGTGTGCGTGTGAGTGTGGAGAGAATGTGGATCTGTGAGGATGTAAGTGTGGGTGTGCCTGTATGGATGTGGATGGTGTAAGTGTGTGTGCCTGTGCATATATGTCTTTCCTAAGTTCACAACAACATCCACAACCTGAACCACATCGACACCTACACCCACGCACCCACACCTACACCCCACGTCCACACCCACACTCACACTCACACTCACACTCACACCCACCCACACCCCACATCCACAGCCACGGCCACAGCCACAGCCACAGCCACAGCCATATCCACATCCACCCCATACCCACACCCACACCCACACCCTTGATTAACAATTGTATTTTATTAAAATAAAGAAAATCAGAAAAATCAAGTTGAGAAAAAAGCGATATATTCATGATTAAAATAAAGTAAAATATTTGTTAGTTTGAATAAAATTGGTCGAAAAAAGTGCAAAAATACAAATTCCTCACTCGCTGATAGTTTTTTTTTCTGAACGAATATGATACTGATTAAAAAGCTATTTATGGTTTTTGGCGAAAGGATAATGGAATTAGATAGTTTTACTATTTAGAAAACCAGAAACAATCATTTACAATTATCACCGAGTTTTTTTTGTTGGACTATAATTTTTCGAAGAATTCGATTGATCAAGAAGAATTACACACGCAAAGGTTTCTCAATTCAGCTAAAGCTCATACGACATAAAAGTTGATAAGTTAGACAGTTGAAAGGTATGCCATTGACACACAGTTACTTAGATTAAGAAAAGAAGGTTTTGATCTAATAAAAGCATTCCAATATTACAATTAACGAAATTATTCTGTATAAGCTTAGGCTTTTATCGGTTATTCCATTTAGAATTTATGCTCAAAGAAAGCTATAACTGCTTATAAATGCATGATTTTATTTGCGAAGTAGAAAAAAGCCACCGCATCTACAAGAATAAAGGTAATGATGTAAAAATTCATGTAATTCTTCTTGATCAATGGCACTGATATGATAGAATGACTCAAAAGAAGAATCTGATTTTTTAAGTATTCAAAGCTTAGAAAGAAACTCAAGAAATAATCCCAGGAAACAATCTCAATCGAAATGATAGTCGAAACTCAAACTCAATGATATTCACACTAACAAACCTTAATACTTGTAAAAAAAACTCAGAATACGACATTGTCTAACAAACGTTATAACTCAGTGAGTTTCTAGATTAATCTTATTGATATTTACCATTATTATGCGTCTGAACAACAGAGCAATTGTGGAAGATTGTCATAGTTTGTATCAACGAGTTCTTTCTCATTCAGTAATTCACCTACATCACCTATCAATGATATAGCTAAAACAAAACAAAAAAAGGAAAAGAAACTAAAGTATCTTTCGGTATAAACATATTACTTGGTCTTTCAGCCAGAAAATCAACTTCAATCTTTATGAACATTCGATCATTTTTAACATAATGATTTTCATTGTGTTCGAATACATTCAGAGGAACGAATTTTGAAATACCATAGGGGATATTCATTTCGCTACTTGGACGTTGAAAAGCGATTGATTTCGTATCAGGCCAAAGAAAATTTGTCTGATTATTATTCGGTGATAAATGATCAAGTAAAGTAAATGTTACTTTGAATTGAAATGGCCAACAAAGATCATTATCATAACTACCGCGCATTAATACAAAATACAACGACATATAAGTACCTCTTGATTTAGTGTCTCCATTTAAAAATAACATCACGGAAATTTTATAACCATAAGGAAATAAATAAAACCAAGAAGAATATATCGATCTTAGCTCACCAAAGGCAGCATTATCTAATGGATCAATAAATAAAATAAAATTTTAAAAAGTTGCTTTGTTATATACCTTTCATATCAGAAATATTGGAAACTTCCCATATACATGTGCCATTCAAAGATGTAATCGATGCATCTGAATCTAATGAAGAAAGATTACCAAGTATTAGATCTTGATTCGCTCCTGTTGAATTTTGTTGATAAGAAATGTTTTCATCTATCTACAAAGAATGATATAACATTGTTTTAAAAAGAAATATTATTAGTTAAATATTTACTTCTAGATTACGAACAAAACAAGTAATTAATTTATCATGATTTTGTTTGACATGCACCTAGCAATCAGATAGACAATATAATCTACTAATAAGTCATCAATATCTTATACTTGGTAGTCTTCTAGTAGTCCTGTCCATTCACAACTTGAGCAGCATATAGGAATATATTGTATTTTCATTTGCAAATCTTGAACCAATGAAATCTTGAAAAATGAACATAGTAATTGAGGAAAGTGATACATATCGATTGTTATATTTACTTTATCACGTGAGACCGCTTTGAAACATGTTGTACAACTAATAATATTAAGAAAGATGTATATACTAATAGAATAAAAATGAAAATATTTACTTCTTTTGAATCTTCATACACACTATACATTGTTGATGTTCACATTCAAGTTTATAAAGTTGTTGATTAATCAGTTTACATGATGAACAAACAAGGCATGGAGCAAAGTCAATGATATTCTTTGCAGGCAACCCATATAATGATGTGAGCGTACATTGTTTTGAAAATGGAGAAAAATTGTTGAACGTAGTCAATTGCTTAAGATGAATCCGATCTTTTATAATTGAAATGATAGCATCAATTGTGCTTCGGTCAATTGGGTTTGATGAAACAAGTGCTTTATTAGTCTCAATTGTTTCCCATCGCCGTAATAAATCATATAGTGTACATAAGTTTACCTTTTTGTATTTCAATGGAAAACGACGTCGATATTTTCTTAACTCATTGATACCATCATAAATAACATCAATATGTAGAACTTGTGGAAATCGATAAATAGGATCGTTCAGTAACTGTTCTAGACAATCGAAAGGAATAATCAGATGAAACGCATCTGTCTTGTTAATATTTTTCCACACATATTCGATCAAATCACGTAAATTACCAAATACCAAAGCAAAGAGAGCTTTAACCTGCTCTGGAATAGGCATTGCACATACCATAAGAAGTTTGTGCACATAAATTTCACTAGTAATACTAGTCATATCACAATAGCTACTGAGTAAATATATAATCTACAAGAAAAAAAAACGAATAGAAATTGCATACTCAATATTAGCAGTAAAATACAGAAATCTATAAAATAAATAAAATTTATATTATTATATTACTTTTACCGAAAGCGTGAAAACGACTTAAGAATAAGCAGATATTTTGACTGTTTAGAATTCTTCGATCGATTTATTGCAAAAAACCAACTGAATATAAGTTACCTCAAATATTGACATGATCGCTAGAAATTACTAAAGTCTGACGAATATACTGATAAGTTAAATGCTTATAACACTTTTAAATGAATCATAAAAATAATATTGTGGATATTCCTTTTATGGAAAACTTGTGCTACACAATCAGTATGTTCATACACCGCTAAACTTCTTCCATTTATAGCTCGATATATCTGGCTAATAAATAGCTCCTCTATTTCTGTTATTATTTGTTAAAAAGAAGTTCAAAATATTACTAACGAGGGAACATTCCCAAGTGATCCGCACCGTTTCGGCTCATCTTCTACTGGTAGTTAGGGTTCATTATATATATCAAATATCTAAAAGGGTTCGTGCCCATGCTACACGATTCCAGAGCTATGAGCTGAAATACTCTTGTGCCATATGGTGCCACCTTCTATGCATTATTTTTTTCTTCCCTTCGTATCTTAACTAGGGAATATTTTTCTCCATAGTTATTCATAATACAAACTTGTCTCACCTTGCTAGAGCGAAAAATGTTTTAACAAATATGTTTCAGTTACAATAGAGAAAGTATAAAAGATTAACAAATAGATGGTAGGACCAACTATCATAGTAGTTGTCTCGCTAATTTCTCCGAAACCGTGCAGCATGGGCACGAATCCTTTTACATATTTGATATATATAATGAACTCTAACTACCAGTAGAAGATGAGCCGAAACGGTGCGCATCGCTTGGGAATGTTTCCTCGTAAGATATTCTAACATACTAGAAGACTGTTTTTACATATGATTTACAGAAGGCTACTATAGTTTGTATGACTTGCAACTTCAATTAAAGATAAGTCAAATGTAACGGATAACTATTGTGCTTCCAAGTTATCTATATGCATAGATCAGATCGATAAAAGAATTCGAAAAGGTCAAAATGCTGTCCTATGTCCCTCGTCTATTTATTATATATTACATTGAAAAAAAACTCTTCATCAAAGCAGTATAATCATGAAAAAAAAATTACATTTAAAAAACACATTAAAATTTACAAAAACAAAAACATAGCAGTAATTAATATTATTAGATCGATGTTCTGAATTATTCATCCTTTTTATTATTACAAAAACTAAATCATTAAAATTTCTAAATTAAGTGAAATATTTCGACAAATCTAAATTCTTAATGAAAAGAATATGAAGTTCTAGAAATGAATGAAAAAAAACAACTTTCCAAATGCCTCAGTAGTATTTAGTCTAAAACGAATCTTTTAACACGGGTATCTTGATAACTGCGTTAGTCTGTTTTTAAGATTTAATATCAATCGACTTGGTTAAAATCAGAAATATGTTCACAACGAATTTTTCCACAGTCTAGAAACATTATAAAATGAAAGTATCTTGGCAGTATACAACCATCTTAGTATTGGTTTTTTAAGATTTCGTTCCCTTTGTAGAATAAAAACTTTTAAAATGTCAGGACTTTCTCTACTCTCTGGAAAAAAAGAACAAACAACTAAGTTTAGTTAAATAATATTTAAATAATATTTTTTATTTCTAATAAGAAACATGGCAGTCATGTGCAACATTATAAATAACTTTTGTATTCTGTTGTTCATAGACATGTGCTGTTTACAGAAAAATTGTTTGTTCTTCTTCTGACGACTCTACATGGCCGAAAAACAAAATGCAAGAATGAATCATACTGTTTACACATGAGTGCTGTTTTTTGCAGGTCTAGTAAACATACGATGTTTTATATTATTTTACTTGACATAAACAGTATCGATTTTTGCTTTAACTAAAATGAAAATATCGAATAAAAGATCTATCTTGAACGATGTTGAATTTGTTTGAAAAATATTGTTTAAATATTATTCATGAACTAAGCTTAGCTATTGTCTGTTTTGTTCTTCAAGAGAGAGTACAGAGAATTCTGACATTTGAAAAGTTTTTCTTTCCATAAATAGGATGAGATCTTACTAAACTAATACCAAGATAATTATGTATACATTTTATAATGTTTTTAAAATACAAAAAGAAAAAGGATTATTTGATTAGTTTTTTGTGAACTTGTGTATTACTCGTCATAAAATCCTCTATTGTCCATTCAAAAGGTAAATTCGTGAGGCTAGATTAACATCTGTTGCTTTTCACTATTCAAAAGAATGATCAGTTCGAAGGGTTCTGTCAACATTTTATTGGGAATAAAGGGTAATTTTGGTTACATTTATATATAGTTTGAGTTGGAATTCTTGTGAAAATTTATGAAAAAAAGAAGCAAAAAATAAAAAACCATAAGAGAATTCTTCGCATGGTGAAGATCTCAGGTCTCTATCCTGTTTTCTGTTCTTGATTGATATTGTTTATTTAAAAAAATGATTTTCTTTTTTCAAATAAACAATTTTATGAGACATTTTTGAAAATTTTTCTTTTCTAACTACATTAAAATTACTAAAAAAAAAGATTCATACTTTCTATAGTCTCTTTGCCAAATTACACAGCTTGAGAGCGCGATCATAATTCCTTTGAGCATCGTACTCATTGTTTTCAGCTTCTCTTGTTCGATCACCTATTTCTTCGTAGAAAAGAGCAAGATCGATAACTAATTTAATTAGAACACGTGTATCATCAGTAAAGATACCATCAATCTTAACATGCGATCTTGAAAATTGTTGCAAAGTAATTAATTCATTAGTTGAACAACGAATAAGAATTGAATGAATACTAGCATACGCAATGCTACGATGCACAATATTTTGAATATTAATGTTTGTTTCAATCACAAGATATACAACTTTTCGTGAAGAATAAATATTTAACCAATGCCACAACTGTTCTTCTGTTGAAAACAACATTAAAGTTATATCTTCAGGGATTAAATATTCAACAAGAGCCGTTTTTAACGAGGAGTTCTTTGCACCATACCAGAGTACTACAAGATCCCCATAATGTACTAAAAGAAAAAAAGAAAAAAAAAATTTCTAAAACATAAGATTACTTCTACACTAGAACTACTCTCATACCATTATCATAAGACAAGCGAGATTGTCCATATCGATCAAACAATTCAGCAATTGACTTATTATTATCATTGATAATTACATTATTTTTAGGCAATAATTGCCGTAGTAAAATGTCTGTAGACAATTGAATAATTGGTAATTTATTTGTCAATGATGTCATACGAATGTTTGAGATTTTTTAAATATGAAATAGAAGTAAAACAATTAATCATAAATAATAAAGTGAAAAAAATCTAAAATAAATATGTACATATTGTTTGAAACTACAAAGAAAAAAAGATAAACAAGAAAACGAATGAAATTTTGACGACAATCAAACGATAATTTTTCGTTTACTAACCATCGACATGCTGAAAACTTTGTTTTATATATGTGAAGATAAAAAACATTTTTTCCCAAAAAGAAACAAAAACGACGTATGAGACTGGGAAAATCTCCAGTCTATTAATAACATCAAATCAATATCAGATTAAACCAGAACATAATTTCTTTCTTATAACTAATTAAATTACGATAAAAAATCCATTTTAATAATATCATTAATTAAAAAACCCAGTTCACTGAATTCTCTAATACAGACAAGTAAAATCATATATGTGTAGACTTTTAGTATTGCATAACAAATGAATAATTTGCAGATTACTACACAGAATAGAACAATATATATATATTTCAAAAAACCCAGTTATGTTGGAAAATTCCAAGTAAAAAAAGAACATGGAACAAATTTATATGTTGGTCTTTCATCAATGAACTAGATCCATATAAAATTCTTCTCAAATGTTACTTCATAGATCATGAAAAATGAAAGATTCTTCTTTTTTTATAAGTTCTTTTCACATATCGTCTGCTTGTTCTTGGTTTGTATGTTACCTTAGACATTTTTCGTTTCTCTCTGTGACAGTAGTTGATAGAAAGTTAACAAGTGTCTGATAGTGATTAATATACATATATCAGAGGAGTTCGAATGTCTGCTATCGTTACAAAACGTAATAAATGTGTTACGAAAATCGATGTAATCTGAATCATTGATTAGAGTGTGAGTGTCTGTCTCCTTCTTACCCATATACATATTCATTAGAATGTGATTGGAAATCGTACTACATATACTCAGATCCTCTCATTTGTTTGATTTCTATTATATTACTCTTTTTGGGTGTGGGTGTGGGTGTGGGCGGGTGTGGATGTGGGGTGTGGGCGGGTGTGGATGTGGGGTGTGGGTGTGGGGTGGGTGAGGATGTGGGTGTGAGTGTGGGTGGGTGTGGGTGTGGGTGGCTGGGGTATGGGTGTGAGTGTGGGCGGGTGATGGTGGAGGTGAGTGTGGGTGTGGGTGGCTGGGGTGTGGATGTGGGCGGGTGCGGGTGTGGGTGGGTGTGAGTGTGGGGTGGGTGTGGGTGGGTGTGGGTGTGAGTGTGGATGTGGGGTGAGTGGGTGTGGGTGTGGGCGGGTGTGGGGTGTGGGGTGGGTGTGGGTGGGTGTGGGTATGGGTGTGGGTGTGGGTGTTGGTGTAAATGCACGGAATAATAGACTAAGATCCACATCCACATCCACACCCACATGCCAACACCCACATGCCCACACCCATACTCACATCCACAGCCACAGCCACACCCACACGCCCACACCCAGCATTAGAGTCGTATTTTTATTGCATATTGTCTTGCTGACGCTGTCTTTTGACGTATACGAGATAATATATCTACACCTGGCAAAGTCTATGCAACACCATGCATTTGTTGTCTACTATTATGAAAATTTTTATGTCATAAACATGATTTGTAGGTAAAGATTAATGCACACAAGACGTAACAACTAAATGTGACAAAACACAAACGAAAATTCTTTGAAACAAATGAGTTATCTAATACAGAAACACAAAGCTCTAGGAGAACATCGTTGGTGAATATGAGAATTATTTCATTCATTTTCCATGTTACTGAGATCTTATTTATGGGTAATTAAAATGAGAACTGGAACTTGAATTAATTTCACAACTTCTATGTATGGTAAATATCTTTGAAGAGAAGCGTCGAACGAAAAGTAAGTCAATATGTGTACTTTTTTCGATATGTTCATAATTTGGACCATGACGATTATTGTATAGCAAAACAGAAGGACTTTTTCGAAGGGTCTTTGATGTATCGTCGAATAGGTCTCAATAAGAGCTATCGATGGAATAGTTCTAAGTCATTTCTTCAATGCAGTTTAAAATCGATGTGAAAACGTAAAAAAATGATGCTCTACGACATGAACTTTCTCGTTTTTTTAATACTTCTAGTGTTGAGCTTTTGATGCTTGTTTTGATGGATATCACAAACAAAAAGAGATTATCGTTGTTATTAAGCACAGAAATGCTGTTTGTTTTTCGTAATGGTTCATGGACAGAGGATTTATTTTTAACGGCTTCTCGTATTTCATCTGGGAAATAAAAGTAAAAGAACAACTATTCATGCTTTTTTAGTGTACTCAAAAAGTGAGTACACTACTAAAATCGGTCAGTATGTCCGGCCGGCCGTCCGGCCGTTAACACGATAACTTTCGAAAGGAGAGTCAGATTGCGATGAAATTTTCTACACAGCTTAGTCTTGACAATATCTCGGTCGAGTTCGAAGATGAGAAGGATCCGTCAAGAAATGGCTGAGTTATCGACAAAATTGTGATTTTTGACCAGACCGTCCCTGAGGGGGGGGTACGGGGATTTTTCGAAAGAAAATTTTTTGCTCATAATTATTCACAAAATACATAAATCGACTCAGTTTTTAACGCTGATTCTGAATCTGATATTAGTTTTGAACTGAATCATAGTTTTGTGTACTCAAAAAGTGAGTACACTATAGAATAGTCAGTGTGTCCGTCCCTCCGGTTGGTTATTTACATGATAACTTTTGACAGCAGAGTCAGATTGCGATGAAACTTTCTTCACAGCTTAGTCTTCACAATATCTCGGTCGAGTTCGAAGATGAGAAGGACCGGCCGAGCCGTTCCTAAGTTATTGCAAAAATACCCATTTTCCCTATAGCTTTCTATGGAAAAATGCACCCATCGCGACTTTCGTAAAAGACTTTTCCGATCATAGTCAACTAAAACCCCAACTTTTATATACTATTCGATAGAGAATTTCAAGAACTACAAAATGATATATAAAACATAAAGAAACAAGAACGTTGACTAACCTATCACAAAAATAATTAAAGAGAACTAGGTATATTTTGGTCGACGATCTAATTGATCCACAAGTACAGCTTTATCTTCCGGTCACACTGATGATACTTCGAGATTTTCAGATATGGAGAACTCGAATGTGTACTGCACTTCCATCGAAATACTATTAGTTGTGCAGTGACCAATAGAAATAAAGTTATAGGAAAAACGACTTTCTTAGGTAAATCCAGGGAAAGAGTTCAAACTTGAGCTGTATTCGATCCCATGTCCTATTGGTTTGGCAACGCACAATAGAAATCAACATTGTAAATGGTAGATTTCACAGTATAATTGTTATATTCAGACAGTCTAGGATGATTGATTTGTATGATTCACTTTTTGAAGTACACATAACTCTCGGATTTAAATCCGAAGTTTCCGCATTTTTTATTTTCTTATGATATTAAAGAATTTATTCATAATAAAAAAATAAGTGTGTCAATATTAATATCATATTCTGCTTGATATCCTCATTTTCTTTCTTCTCAACATTTTATGTCATTTTTTCTCTAATGGTCTTGGTAGTTTTTACAGGGTCGTGTTGTATATTAAACAAGCATGACTGGAAATGTAGAGTACCTAAATAAATATCGTTAATTGGGGCAGCCATAAAACTAGTTCTTCAGTTTGTGGCATATTTAATCATTACAATAAATTGATTCTTATATAAACACTGTGCATTAATGACACAGTACTCTAGTAATCAAATCAGCAGCAACGTTTTGAATAATACGTTAGAATATTAATGGTAATAGTTTCATTTTCGTTCATTGTAAATTTTGAAGTGAAAATGTTTAAAGAAACTTAAAAAAAAACAAACCTTTCACATTCAATTATACGAACAACTTATTTCGTCGTTTTTTATCAAAATCGACGATTGATCGTAATTCTTGAAAAAAATCACTGCTTCGAAAAGTTCACTTTTTTTTGTTCCTTACCTAAGGGAGGAAAATTGAGATGAAAGTTATGCGTGAGAGTCATACTATGTTGATTCAATTTTTTCAATGAAAATAAGACTATTTTTTGAAAACAACAACTTTTTGTTATAAAATTTGACTAGAGGTTTCTGAAGAAGAGGGTTTCGAATCTCTAATCGATGTTTTTTGGTCAGTGGAAGCCTATTTCTTGCAATTGATTTACGTTGCATAACATAGAGCTATTTGGTTGAAATAGTGTTTCCCTGATCGGAAAAATTGAACTGAAGAGTTCCGTAAAAATCAATTAGAAATTCAGCTTTCTCGTCTCGGAAATTTTTAGTCAAGTTTTACAAAAAAAAAAGAAACCATTATTTTCGAAAAATAGTCTTGCCTTTTGTTTTAAAAAAGCGGATTGAAACAGTATGACTTTCATTTATAACGATTATCTTAATCGTTAGTCTAATTTCATATATGTATGAGTATCACAGCATCTTCAAGACTTTTCCAGTACTTTGTAGTAAAATTTGGTGGTCAGATGCTACACTTATCTCCTTGTCATTAGCTATAAGTTTTGCCATTAAATTGATATTTTTCTTTTGAAGATGTCGATTTCTATCTTTAAAAAAAATCAATTTTAATATGTGAAAGCATATTACGTTGAATCAGATCGCAATTTTTTTGATTGTTGAGATCTTCTAAGTAACGGTAAGATTTCTAGCGTCATCTTTACTTATTCGAATTGGTGTTCTTTTCTGATACGTGTTTATAAATGTCCAATAAAACTTTTCGACAAATAATTGTTCGTTTTGCATTAAATAAAAAACACCAAATAAGACAATTTCTTCGTATTATATATTTTATTTACTAAATATTGTTTAGATTTTTTGTTCTTTCAAAACATAGAAATAAGTCAACCTTAGTGAAGATGACATCATCTTCGGATGTAACACCAGAGAACTTTGTTCGTGCTGTTCAAATGCTTTATCATGATCAAGATGCTACAAGAAAAAAAATAGCTTCAGAATGGTTACTTAATGTTCAA